TTTTTTTATAATAACAACAAGAAAAAACAATTCTTCTGTCGTTCTGTTGAAGTCGTTCAAAGTTTGGACAGTCGTCGCCATTTCTACAGAATCAAAACAACTCTAATTAATTCATCATTTCATTTTAGCGTCAAATCTTGTCATCTAGTTTCATTCATTCATTCATTCAACAAAAAACTGTATGCCCTGACGTTCAGAATCTTCATAGTTGCCAACAAAGAGATGAAAAAGGAAAAAAAAAACAAGAAAACGCAACTGATAAATACTTTTCACTACTCATATCAATCAGTTCATCAATTTTCGTTTCCTCACTTCTAAAAACTTCACTATAATATCAAAGAAAATTTGATCAACAAAACTACACCAAACCAAACACAGCAACAACAATAATTCCAAATTCGTCCAACGTCTAATTTTCTGTATTTAAATTTTTTTGCATTTGTTAACAATTCTGATTCTGTAAACTTTCCTTAAGAGTGCTTTAATCGTACAACAACAACAACAACAACGAAAAAAACCTGTTCAAAAGCTACAATCCAATAAATGCTGTACAGTTAACCAAATTAGTTTTTTTTTCTTTTTTTGATAAAATACTATTTTTTAGACAAGCGGTGACTGCCACCAACAACAATTAGATTAATCAGCAAAAGAAAACAAAAAAAAAAATTAAGGGCAAAAAGAAGAATTGAAAAGCAGAGAAAATATTCAACAACTAAAAAAGAAAAAAAAAAAAATGGGGTCATAATTTGCAGCAGTTGAATTGCACAAAAAAAAAAAAAACTTTGAAAAATAATCATAAACAAATAAAAATAACATCCAAAATAACTTCTTCAAAAAAAATTATATGCGCATCTAAAATTTTTCTGACATCTGTACACCAATCGAGAAAAAAGCAAAATGTGATTCAAAGCACAACAACAACAACAAAAAAGAGAAGACTCAAATACACCACACAAAAAGTAAGCAAAAGTTCGCAAAACAAAAAATTGATATAACGTTAAATTTTTTTTTTTTTTTTTTTTT